ATATTTTTAAATTTCCTGATTCAGCTTGGCATGGGCTTCTCGAAAATATATAACACTCTATATTTATTTTCACTGATATGTTGGTTTATATATTTATTTTCACTGAGATGTTGGTATTTAAAAAAAAACATAAGTAGTACAGTTAATACCTAAAAAAATATTTTTTTTAGGTATTAACAATAATCAAGATTAATTCCCAACAAGTTCCGAAAAACTAACGATTTATTTTTTTTTATTGGCATTGAGCATTGTTTTTTTTATTCTGCTGCTTGGCTGCGGCCTAATAGTTCAAAAACCAATGCTGCGGTTAAAATTTTATCATAAAAATATATAAAAATCTGACTTAAGCCTTTTATAAAAAGACCTAACCCTTTTTCTATTTTAGATTAAAAATTTAAATCACAAGTCATTTTGAAAAAGACTTAAATTTTAAGTTTTAAGTCTGCTTTCGAAAAATGACTTAAAATCAAACGACTTAAGTCATTAAAATGATTTAAATCAAAAGAAGACTTAAGTTTTCTGTGAGCTTGCAGCTCTGGTCAACGATACCTTATAATAGTTAAAGCAAAGGAATCCATTCCTACTGCAAGTACTAAACAGATAACATTTCCAGTTGCTTCCTCCCAGAACGCCGCACCCAACATGAGACATGATTGACACAGAAAGCCTAAAGCCATAAAAGTTTTTCTGGCATAGGTAATGCCTAAAATGTTCCACTGCACAATCTTGTCTGCCAGATGACCTGTAACTTGCATCATTATGGCTAAAACCAAGTAGGGCAACGCAGAAAGTATTCCTGATTTCGAAATGACGAAATTATGTACATCTGAAAAGCTAGTAGTTATGTCGTCCTGTTTTTAAGTATAATTTTAAAATTTACCTTTGTAATACTTTGGCAGTAGCGTGAGTAAAGTATAAAATCCCCAAGCTTCGCAAAATATTGCTACCTGTAATGCCCATACTGCTTTACATATTAAAATATTTTTCCACGGTACTGGAAAGGATTCGACAGGTTTCGCATCTTTCAGTGATTGCTGAATATAATGCAATTCGGAATGTGATATCCACTTGTCAGATTCTGGGGATTCCTTTATTAATATAATCCAGATTAGGGACCAAATTAAAGCCATTCCACCTTAAAAGCGAAATACATAAGTTAAATGGTATTACTTCGAATATGGTAGACAATGAGATTCAGTATTAAAACTAAAAAGAATTTCGGATTTCCATTGTCTATTTATTTTGCTTGCACAATGTTTGGTGCAAGCAACAAAGTGCTCGACAATAAGCTCAATCCAACCATACAAATCATTCAAACCGGACAGAATGTTGTAAACCAGAATAAAACCAGACCTTTTATTTATTTTTAGTTTTGGCTTGTAAACACACTTAAATAATAAATATTTATGTATTTTTATTCTAAATATTATTATTATCTTAAGTGAAGGTAAACACTTAAAATGCAAATAATAAATACTCGGCACTCCTCGCGTCGTATTCCTAGTCTGTCACGACCGACCTGTCCAAGCACAACTGCAACTGCGTACTACCTGACGAGCCGACTAGCCGGCAGTGAATCTCGAGTACGAACGCAAATCGGGTAAACGTAAATTCGTCCGGCAACTTGCTATTTTACTAGTAGCCTGGTAACTGCTGTATAGTGCATTTACTTAATTTTAATTAATAAAATGTAGAGGCTTAGTATGTCTTTACCTGAAAAATAAAAAATGCTTCTCCATCCACTGATGTCAGCTAGATATGCATAAAACACCATGGCAAAAACGGCTCCGGTCTGACTGCCTGAAGTTGATTGACTGGTATATCTGCTTCTTTCACTAGGTGGAATCCATTTGGACCACAAATAGAATAAACTAGAATATGTCACACCCTTAAAATATCTTTGAGTAGAGATGATTGAAAGCACCAATATGTTTATTTACTACAAATATTCCCATAAATATTCTTCCAGCCAGAAAAAGATATACATTTATGGTAGCAAACAACGGGCTAAGCAAAGAATAAAGCAGCTCCTAACTCCTCCTCCGAAGACCAACTTTCCTCCAAACTTTGGAAAGGTATCCACCAGCAACTGAGTCATTATATATCCATAGAAAAAGGAACTTAATAAATAACCTTGGATTTTGTTATCCCAGCTGAATTTCACCCTGTTAAAAATAATATATTTTTATATAACGTTAGAGTTGTGTTGTTTTTTATCGTACTATATTTTCTTTTAGTGCCAATGGCAATGTAACGTGTACGTCCCTGAGTCATAGCCACAATACCTATACTTAAGTTAACCTGTACAGAATAAAAAGGTTGAAATATTCGAAAAAAACTAAAATAGCTAAAATGTTTCTTCTTTGTTTCCAAAATTTCCAACCCGATTTAGGCATTCTAAAAACAAAATCGAATGAAACAGCATACTCAAAAGCTTTAATACTTACGGAATTCCATTGTCAGTCTGATGATCGCCCATGATTTGTCATAGACATGTAGGTTACTAAGTTGAAATATATACATAAAACATGCTAATAAAATTATCTATATACTAGAAAATTACATATATAATAGTTATGTTTTTACTAAAAATTTAAACTAATTTAAATAAACGTTGACAATGTCTTGTTAAATTCATAGGTTAAGTTTAAATAATACAAAGGTAAAAATTTCTGAAGGATGCTAGGTATTAGGTAAACTTAAAAGTTAATTATTACCAGTTATTACACATGATATAAAATAGATCAAATAAAAGACAGAATGGTTATTTGGCACTAACTTTGAATAAAAAGAGGCCCTACAAATATTTTAGCAAAATATTATTTACCGTTAATAACGAATAGGCCAGTAAGCGAGGATAAAAATAGGGTATTACCTCCGAATTCTAATTCCTCCAGATTCTAAGCAAAAAATGTTCTATAACATTTTTTCAGAAAATTAATATTTTCCGAGTTATTTAGGATTGAAAATCTTGGTTTTTCATCTAAAAACTTCATATTTTTCTGCAATTTTTTATAAATAACTCGAAAATCTTGCGTTTTATCGCAAAACTCATTTAAAGCATAAATGAAGCTTTTGGAATAACGAATCGATTTATTTTTGTTGTTTACCATATAGGTGTAGTAATAGCCGAGTTATCACTCTGTAAACTTGATTCTTTATTTTCGAAAACTAAATTGCAAGCTTCTTCCCCTTAGAGAGATGCAATACCTTGTCGTTGGTGGGGGAAGTCGTCAGGTGCTGGGGGGAATCCACCCTAGCACTTGGCTTTGGTCTATGAAGCATCTCACTCATCGTCTTGTCCCTGACTGTAGTGCGTGTCGTGGCCAGGAATTGCACCTCGCCATATAACGATACCGGCGGGCCACGGACAGCCTCAACCTTGGGGCATCGGGGGCACGCCATTGTATTTTACCCCCTTACGTCTGGCTGCTCTGTAGAAGTGGACCGATCTGTCCTCAGCGACTCATGGGAACACTATGAGATCTGGTAATAATAGTATTAAAACATCACTGGTGAAGCTGTGGGGAAACTCCCCTAGCGACACTGGGAACAGTAACAATGAAAGTTCCAAGGGGCCAAACCTCCAAAGAGAACTACAGGAGAGGTGGCTGACACTTGCGTGAGACCATCCTCCGCAAGTGGCATACAAGTTTCCACCTCCTCCAAGGGTCGGGAGCCTACCTCCTACCTCTAAACCCAACAGACGAAGTTCCCAACAGACGAAGTTCATTTTGCTCTTAAAAATTAACCAAGGCATTTGTTGACATGAGTCAAAAAACAATATATTCAGAGGACATGGTTCTGAGCGAAAAATAATGCTTTTGGAAAATTTGCTTACGAAATTATTGCACAGGTTTTTTTAAAGATAGGGTAAAAACCCATTCTTCGATTAAACCTGTATGATAAACCAAATACTAAAATAATAAACTTGTCCAAAATTTTTCCGTTGCGTTTTTTTTGCATCTGGTTGTAGGTTCTCATACCTTTAGATAATTTTTTTCTTTTATTATTCTCTATTTTTGTTGTTATTATAAGCGAAAAGAAGAAAACTCAAATGAAGTAAAGACTTTTAAAGTGCTTTTTAATAAATAGTAATTCAGAAAATTTATTTCATTAATTTTCATTATATTCGGGCTGTTCTTCACCAGTGGATTTTTTAAGATAGGGTTTTTTTCAATATCCTGTTGCTTTAATCCAGAAGCAACCATAAAAATATTGCTCCAAATAGGTATATAAACTTGCTGTTATATAAAATATGATTCTCCATTGTTCTGCAGTCTAAAAAGTTACAAAATTATATCAAAATAATTTATCGTTACATTTAGGTGTAAACAATTTTTAAAATGGATATCACTGATTTATTATTTATTATTAAATTAGTGTAGTAAATTCATACTTTAAATTATCTTCTTTATTTCATTTTAAAATTTATTCAAATTAATTATATTTACGTTATTTTTCGGAAACTTAATATGTTTGATATATTAAGTTATATTAATAATAAATGCAATAAATTAGTTGTTGTGTGTTTGGTTTGGTGTCTATTTGTCTATTTATCAACATTTTAACTATCTTCCCTGTAATTTCTTAAACAAATTCTAAATACGCTTATGTACTTCTTCAAAATTTATATTATTGATTCTAGACTTGTCGGATTATCAGTGGAAATTACATATCCAAAGCAATAATAATTTATAATTCAGGAATGGTGCCATATGTATTTACGATTCCGAATAGGATGCTTGCATTTACTGGAGCGATATCCAAGGCATTTACACTAGAAAATTTTATAGTTAATAATTGCTAAGTATAGAAATACAATTAAATAAAAAATTCACTCTGTGAATTTTTTGAGAGAAATAAGTGAGTAGACTAACTAAACCAAAGATATAAAAAACTTGATAATATGTATATGTTGGAGGCAGATGTCCGAAAATAATTAGACATATGGCGATTATTAAAATAAACTACCTATATCCACAAAGTTACGCGGAAGAGTTTTCATTGTGATTGTTCAATCTTATGTGCGGAGGGTGTTAATCTTTGTTGTTATATTATACTGAAAAGATTAACCCCTCCGCAAAGAAGTTATATAAAGACTATTTATAACCACGAAGTTGCACGCATCTGGCAAGTTTATTATAGACAAATCGCCATATGTTCGATCGAATTCGGCATCTGCCAATATATACAGAGAAGACCAGGCTACTAGTAACATAGCAAGTTGCCGGACGAATTTTACGTTTACCCGTTTTGCGTGTTCGTACCGAGAGTCACTGCCGGCTAGTCGGCTGGTCAGGCAGTACGCAGTTGCAGTTGTGCTCGGACGGGTCGGTCGTGACAGACTAGAATATGACGCGAGTGCCGAGTATTTATTATTTTCATTTTAAGTGTTTACCTTCACTTAAGGTAACATTTAAAATAAAAGATTTAAATATTTATTATTTGAGGTATGGCAAGCCAAAACTAAAACATAACAAATTCTCTAAACCCAAAAAGTTATATAATATTACTCTCTAAATAAAAAAAAGTTATAACAAGTGTTCAAACAGACCATCTTTCTCTTGTGCTAGACAGAAGTCTAGGCGGTCGTAAAATGTGATGAGGAGGAAAAGCAAAGCATGCTTTCAATGCTAAAATTGCTGTAAATCGTTACTGGCTTATTCAAAAGTTAATAATATACAATAAAAATAAATTCCAGTAAAACTTAAGTTTAGTCAGTTCAGATCAGTGATTCCCCAAAGTGACCCCATCGTTAGATCTAATCATTTTTGACGTAAGCTGGGAACAGGTTTGTGAATACTTAAGTTTTTACTAAGAAGATATATTTTATTGATAATAATAGTATTACTGGTACCTTATAATAGCTATAGCAAAGGAGCCCATTCCTACAGCAAATACTAAACAAAACACAGTTCCAGAAGCTTCTCCCCAAAAGGCTGCACCCAACATAAAACACGTCTGCGACAAAAACCCAATAGCCATAAACGTTTTTCTTGCCCAGGTTATGCTTAGAAGTTTCTTTTGAACAACCCTGTCTGCCAGTTGACCTGTAACTTGCATCATTATGGCTATAAATATGTAGGGCAATGCAGAAAGTATTCCTGATTTTGAAATGTCGAAGTTAAACACATCTGTAAAACGAATATTTATGTTTGAGTTCATATATAATTTCCAAATTTACCTTTGAAATACTTTGGTAGGAGGGTAAGCAAAGTATAAAATCCCCAAGTTTCGCAAAATACTGCTACCTGTAATGCCCACACAGCTTTAGATGTTAAAACATGTTTCCATGGTACTGAAACGGATTTGGTGGGCTTTGACTCCTTTAAGGCTTGCTGAATGTATTGTAGTTCGAAGTTTGATATCCACTTGTCTGTTTCTGGAGACTCTTGTATTAGCAAAACCCATAGCATGTACCAAACTAATGCCAGCCCACCTATAAATAAGAATATGTATTAGTTTTACATATAGGTGATCAAGAGTTACATATTGAAAGAAAAAAAGTTTAATAAATAACTCTAAAATCTCACCGGAAAAAATGTTCATGATTTGTTATTTTTATATAAGACAAAGTATATTTCTCTATTTTTAAACAAGAAATAAATATTAAAAAAAGTATAGAGAGAAGTAATTTCCTTTAAATATTTTCCTTGTCGACCACTATCCAATAAGTACTATCTTACCTGAAAAGTAAAACACACTCCTCCAACCACTGGCGTCAGCTAAATAAGCATAAAACATCATAGCAAAAACTGCTCCAGTATAACTGCCTGAATTTGCTTGACTAGTAAACCTGCTCCTTTCACTGGGAGGAATCCACTTAGCCCACATAGAGAACAAACTAGAATACGTCACACCCTTAAAACATTTTTTTAATGATTGAAAGCACAAATCACTCTTAGTTACCTCAAATATTCCCATGAAAATTCTTGCAGCCAAAAGAAGATACACATTTATGGTTGCAAAGAGCGGGCTAAGCAAAGTAAAGAAAGCAGCCCCTGCAACACCTCCTCCAAAGATTAACTTTCCTCCAAACCTCTTGGAAAGGAATCCTCCAAGTATTTGAGTCATTAAATATCCATAGAAAAACGAACTTAATAAATAGCCTTGAATTTCGTTATTCCATGTGAATTCTGGACCCTGTTTAAAAGTATATTTATGTACATATAGTGATGGTTTTGTATTTTACTTTTCCTACTATGTTTTGTTCAGTGCCATTTGGTAATAATACATATCTGTCTTGTGTCATAACCACAATACCAATACTTAAGTTAACTCGTAAAGAATATATATTCAAATATCCGAAAAAAACTAGGATAGCTAAAATATATCGCCTTTGTGTCCAAAATTTCCAAGTTGTTGAAGGCGACCTAAAGATTAGTTAAATGAAAATTAAAATTGAAAAATATTTAATACTTACAGGATTTCATTATAAATTTTTTGTTCGTCCATTGGTTTAGAATAATGTATATTTTTAAATATAAACTTATAGCAACGTTAATTATATTAATGTTGTTATATCTGAAGTAGTTTACATTATATTTAAATTCTAGTATTTTTTATCTTATTTATTGATAATTATTAATCTCGATCACAATTAAGTTAGTTGTTATATTTTAAACAAATTATTACTGTCTGGTTAAGGTCTGTTAATGTAAAATTTGAAATTTCTAAAACACACAATAGTAAAATCAAGGTTAATTACATTTGACATAAAAGAGATCTAATACTATTAAAAGATTCAATGTTTACTTAATAATAAAAAGATTTTTAGAAATGACACTTTTATGCTGGTTTTTATCAACATATTAGGTAGGATTAGTTCAATCTAAGAATATTACGATACGGGATTTATGAGAAAATTTACGACAAAATTTTATATTATACATAAAACAAAATAAATCACTTGCATTATTTTATTAAATTAAAATACACTCACCGGCAAAAATCCGGCCACTAAAAACTAGTCCCAATTTCAGAGTTGGATTTTTGCGAACCACTCATTAGATTTTGATGATTTTTTAAATTGTAAATTAATTTCTTCTTAACGGATGCTACGTCAGCAATTTTTTATTCGAATTTATTTTGAGCATATACAGGGCACACAACAATAAGACGAAGTTTTTGCTCGAACTTTGTAACACCCTGTAGAGTGCAGCAGCTGTAGTAGCTATTGTTAAATCAAATCACATTGTAGCCTGATCTTTTGTGAGCATTTTATTTTTTAATCAAGACATTATCTCCAATATGAACAGTGATAATGTCGTGATTATAAACAAAATGTTTACAAAAGATGAGGCTACAATGTGATTTGATTTAGCAATAGTTACTACAGCTGCTGCATCCTACAGGGTGTTACAAAAATTCGGGCAAAACTTCGTCTTATTGTTTTGCCCTGTACATATGCTCAAAATAAATTTGGAATAAAATTTCTGACGTAGCATCCGTTAAGAAGGAATTAATTTACAATTTAAAAAAAATCATCAAAATCTAATGAGTGGTTCGCGAGAAATCTAACTTTGAAATTGGGACTAGTTTTTAGTAACCGTTTTTTTTTTGCCGGTGAGTTTATAATAAATTATATATTTTTATAATATCACTTGATCGAATTTGGTTTATTCTCTTCTTGTTCTTTGGATTTGGCCCATGGTTGTAGTTCTCCTGAAGCACACGATACAAAAAAGAAAGCGCCAAACAAGTATAATCCGGCCGAAATAAAAAATACTACCCTCCATTCGTAAATCGTCTAAAAAATGTAAAGGAGGTAAATAGTAAGAAAGTCTTAAGTAAAAAGATATATGACATACAGGGTTATTGGAGATAATATATCCAGACACAATTGGACTCATAATGCCAGGCATGGTTCCAAAGGTATTGCTTATGCCTAACAGTACGCTGGCATATTGTGGAGCTATATCCAGAGGATTTACACTGAAATGTATTAAAATTATATTTTGATGTTATGTTTGTTATGGTTAAAATGGATACCTTAGTATACTGGGTGCGTCTCAAAACTGGCTCACCCCTATAACTTTTGATTTTTTTCAGATAAAAAAAAACGAGATTTGGTAGGTTAGTATATGACATAAATTATTTTCCCAAGGCTCTTTGATTAAAAATTAGTGTTTTTAACAGATCCATGGCCAGGGGCGGGTACAAGAATTTATTTTAGGGGGGTCCAAAATAGAAAGTAATGTAGAATACGCTTTTTAGGGTGCCATTTTTAACAAAAATGCCTAATATTTAATACAACTTACAGATCTTAGGGGGCCGGGCCTCATAGGCCCCGCTCTGTATCCGCCACTGTCCATGGCACTCTAGATTGAAATTTAAAATACGAGTTTTTAAAGCGAAAATGTAAAAAGTTGACATATGATATGCCATTCTATTGAAAATGTCATTTTCTATCGAATAAAGTAAAAATATACAGGCGTGCCATTTAAACATCAAAAGTTGTAGTTATTTCCGGTGAAACAGGAAATGACCAAAAACAATCAATTCTAATTTATGTCATATACTAACATACCAAATCTCAGTTTTTATCTAAAAAAATAAAAAAGTTATAGGGGTGAGACACTTTTCAGACGCATCCGATATACAGGGTGTGTCTTAAAGAACTTTACCGTTTATCCCTTTACTGTTTTCAAACAACTCCAAAATAAACGAGTCATTATACTTTGGAAATTTAAAATAAATATATTTTTGGTTAAAGTTTGAGAAATAAAAGTTGATATACAGGGAGTTCCAATATTCCGTGGACATAGAGTCACTACGTATTTTTGAATCAAAATAAGTTAGTTGCACACAATCTAACTCTATACAAAAACGTTTTCGCAGTTTTCGCCAACTAGATTATTAGCAAATACTAGATATTTTGTGCTTACATAACTTGATGTGACAAGAAATAATTTTGAAATAATGTGTCTGTTATTTTGATTCCAAAAATATGTAGTAGTTGATGTTCACGGAATATTGTGGCACCTTGTATATCCATATAGAAATAACATGCAGTAAATAAGCAAAAAATATGCCGGGTGCGTCTCAAAAAAGCGACTCACCCCTATAACTTTTTATTTTTTCAGATAAAAAACGAGATTTGGTATGTTGGTATATGACATAAATTAGGATTGATTGACATATTAAATTGTTTTTGGTCACTTCCTGTTTAGAAATGACTACAACTTTTGATTTTTAAGTAGCACCCTCGGTATATTTTTACTTTATTCGATAGAAAATGACACTCTGAATAGAATAACATGTTATATGTCAACTTTTGACATATTTGCTTAAAAACAAGTCGTATTTTAAATTTCAATCTATACGGTTATGTTAAAAATAGTAATTTTTAATCAAGGAGCCTTGGAAAAATAGATTTGATTACTTAATGTTTTTCGTGTCTTGTCCTGGCAAGTTAAAAGATGCCCAAATCGTATTTTTAATCATATCTCAATTTTTTCAAAACGAACAAGGGTGGCTCATTAGCATATTTGGAAAAATCATTTTTTACGAATAATTTGGTACCACACACTTTCGAATAAAGTAAAAAATACCAAGGGTGTCATTTAAAAATCAAAATTTATAGTCATTTCTGGTGATACAGGAAGTGACCAAAAACAATTGAAAACGCCAAACAATCCTAATTTATGTCATATACTAACATACCAAATCTCGTTTTATTATCTGAAAAAATAAAAAAGTTATAGGGCTGAGTCAGTATTGAGACGCAACCGATATTGTTCCTCTTTTGTTTAGAAAAATATCTTTAAACATTTAAAATCAATTCATTAACAAATATTATGAACTAAAGTAATATTTTTACCTGAATCCTGCCCATGCAAAGGCACCTAGGCCTACAGCCATGGATAAACACATTACTGTAACGGTGCTGTTAAATACGAAGGTGACAGCCATCAGGAAAATAAATTGTGCCACAAATCCGAAGAAATTGAAATATTTTCTTGTCTGAGTAACCGTTAGATATTGTCTAGTTATGAGAAAATCAGCTATTTGTCCTGACAATGCAACCATTATCGACATTGCGACATAGGGAAGACTGGAAAGAAAACCTGACGTGCCCAATTTAAAACTGTAAATATCTGTAAAATATATTGTTTAGTGTTATTGTTATTGTTCTATTTAATATTTCCTATTACCATTTAAGAATTTTGGTAATTGTGTCATGAAAGTGTAGAAGCCCCAATTTTCGCTGAAGTTTGCCACACATATTGACCACACGGCTTTAGAAGAAAATATCGATTTCCATGGAACGGTAATTTCTTGTAATTTATCACTAGAATTTACTTCCATAGAAGACTGAATATATTTAAGCTCCCAATCGCTAATATTCGAATCATTATCAGGTGCATTTGCTACTATAACCATCCACAGAGTATACCATATTAGTCCCAGAACACCTATAGAATAAATATTAAACCAATTAGCTTGATTTTCATGCATTCGTTATCCGTTATCCGACGATACGATATTAATTTTATTGGTTGAATTTAAAGACTTCGATTAGGATCGTCGATGAACGGCATGAAAATGCAATAATTTCATGCTTCCGTTCATCGGATGTACGATTTGCTTTTGATTGGTGTTATTTTATATTTTCATTTCCATAACCATTTCGCTGTTTTACTTATAGTCTAATAGTACGAGAGCTAGCAACGTCAAAGCTAGCAACAAGAAAGCTGCATGCATGGAAATGGAACAGTATGCGGCCCGTCTGGCTGCCGGTAAACGTTGCGTTCCCTACTGCGCATTGAAAGAAGATCCTATATTTTTTATTAGTCTTTTAAATTCTAATCTAGTAAAGTATTAAATAATTCTGGCGATTAAAAAAAAATATTTAATACTTCACTATCAGAATATAAACGAAAATAAAATAAAAAAGTTTTTGCCCGGACCCGGTCTCGAACTCTGAATCCTCGGTTCTTAGTCGGAAACTCTACGCGCTGCGCTATGGAGACTTGTTCGATTTATATTCAATACTAGAATTTAATTTAAAAAAAGACTAAATAAAAAAAAATATAGGATCTTCTTCCGATGCGCAGTAGTGAACGCAACGGGTATCGGCAGCCAAATGGACCGCATGCTGTTCCAGAGAGCATAGTAAAAGATATATCAAAGAGCCAGCTTTCTTAAAATACTTTCTCGAAAACGTTGCTAGCACTTAGACTATAAGAGCTAGCAAATATTTTCGAGAGAGAATTTTAACCCAGATACTGCCAAAACTTTTTTTTTCGAAAAATTTATTCAGATTTTAAATTTTAGTCCTAAGGATAAACAGAAATTGATATTTTAAGTAAATTTTGGATTTTACCATTGTGTTTTTTCTAAAACCGGTGTTCTTTTAAAAGAACGGTGGCAAAATATTACTATTTGAAAGAAAAACAAACAAATTTTAAAGATAGGGTTTATTATGTTACCTATATATTTTTAAACGAAAAAATTACAATGTATGATAGCTAAGAAAGCAATTTTTAGGGTGCAAAGTAATGGAACATTTTTGACAAAAAAAATTACAATTTTTATGACATACATTACATCGGGTCTGTTTTTCCTGATACACAACCAAATGATCTAGTCTATCATATCTAGATGTTTCATGAAGATTTGCGGACTGACGGCTAGGACCTCTTTTTGTTGTTTTTTTATATGTCTCCAAAATTGAAGTTGCCACTGATTGTCTAAATCTTAGATGATCTTTTTTTCCGCCTCCAATTCGATATATCTGCCAAGCATTTTGTTCGGCCATGTCTAGACAGTGAGATATTAGTGGAAAATACCACTTTTTACCTCTTATTTGAGTTCGATAGAGGCTAATATTTTGATCCGCCCTGTCAACCCCACCCATGTTCTCATTATACTTTTTTATTACATGTGGTTGCGGTACGTAAATCGTTTTTTTCTCTTTCTGGGAAAATCTTTTTACTGGGAGGGTGGGCATTATTTTGGTGTGATTTGAAGCAATCGTTACTACGCTATTATCGCACCACTTGCATAAAATTATAGAATTCGTATCAGAAGATACAAATTCTAATGCACCGCGTTCCTTTTTCTTCAACACTGAGGAGTGAGATAAAGGAGAGTCTTTACCGACGCGATTTTCTCTTATTGTGCCCGTACCTTTCAGACCCATATTTTTGAGCTCTTCGAGTAAATGAAGGGATGTAAAAAAGTTATCGAAAAATAAATGAAAAGGGACAGCCTTAGTGTACTTTTTTTGAAGTACTTCTGCAAATTCTAGCACCACTGTTGCACCTAGGCCAAGATCTTTATACCTACCCGAAAGGACGGTGGTTGAACCCTGATAGGGTTCAAACCATTCAATATACCCTGCAACAGTTGTTCCCACCCACAATTTATAGCCCCATCTAATTGGCTTTCCTTTTATAAATTGTTTCGAACCATGATGCCGAAAATATGGTACCATCGATTCATCGACGCTGTGCGACTCTTCACATGGTGACATATCTATAAATTTTTTACTGAGGACATCAAAAAGAGGTCGTAGTTTGGCAAATTTATCATTAGCGGATTAGTCAGCATTATTACAACAATGAATATTTTGCATTATAAAATTAAACCTATTTCTAGATATCGCTTCACAAACCAAGATACTATTAGTGTCTCGAGAATTTTCCCAATACATCGACCTTCTTGGGTGGGAAGAATAGCCACTGAGTAGCAAAACACCCAAAAAACAGCGAATCTCGTCGTCAGTAATATCTCCAGTACGGTTATGTGAATTAGCATACATATTTGAGTACTTTACCAGCATCCCGATGACTTCATTATCAAAAAATAGGAAAAATGCATCAAGAGGAGTGTAGAGCTGTCTTGGTCCGTATGTTGGAAGGAAAGAAGGCATATCGGAGTCGATATCTATGCTTATTATCCCATTTATAAGTTCGTGTTTTCTTTAGGACTCTGCTTCCAATAATCCTTGACCCAAAAGTGGACAATGGCAAGTCATCCTCACTATCAGAAGTGTCTGTTATTACAGAGACACTAGCGTCTCCGGTATCGTCCTGCGAAACTTCAGCTTCGGCACGTAACTGACGCCCTGGAAGATTACACATTTGCACGTTCTCTTCGTCCCCAGAGTCCTCATCAGTGTTATCGTCATTTGCGTTCTCTGGAGGAAATATGATGATATTATTGTGTGGGTCTTTATCCAAAGCCTCAACTTCCTCCAGTAATTCATGTAACGTCAGAGGCTTATTCCAATACCATAGACAAACTAACAAAAGCAAGACTTTTCAAACGATTGAGGAAGTCGAATTATTGTTTTTGCGCTGGCCAGTTGAGTCAGAAATCATCGCGCAGTCGCACTCGTCAAACCTAACCTAAATAAAACGAAAAACGTTTTTGCCTTGAACGAACTGTTGAATTCCTGATTTTGCGTTTTGATTGGTTATTACTATTATTTTATTAGCGTACAAAACGAAAACAAATAATGTAATACATTTTACACTTATGAAGAGCATAATAATTACTGTGATTATACATATTATTGTGATTACATCGCTAACGTACACAAAACGAAGGTCCTACAAATTGACTGTAAGTTATAAGAATCTTTATCTTTTAAATCTCTTTATGATTTGAATTTTCGTGCTTTATATTTTATAATAGACTCTAAATGTTAATATTTTTTAAATTCTTGTGAAAATGTGAAGTTTATGTTTTTTGTTTTATATTTGAAAAAGTTGTATATTTTTAAGATGTTTCTTGTTGTCCTATTATTAATATTATAATATACATAATTATTTTTTGTACCTTTTGAAGAATAATGCTTTTATTTCGTTTGCCATATAACTGTTGTTTTTATTATCATCTTTTTGTTATTTATTAAAATAAACGAAAAAAAGTCAAATAAACGAAAACGTATTCCTCTTATTAAAGAGAATACGTTTTCGTTATTGACTTTTTGTTTATATCTGTTACGTCAGAAATTATTGTTTATTTTACCGATGGAAATGGAAATAAATGTATTTGATTTTAATAAACGCTTATTAATTAAACATCCTTTTTACAAAATACCCAATCCATAAGTAAAACATTCTCGTCTAAAAGACTACTACAAAATACACAATCCATAAGTAAACCGTCCTCGTCTAAAAGGCCAGTTGACGCAAGCGCGGTAATAAACTCTTATCAAACTTGTTGCCGTTTTGCTTTTGTTAGTTTGTCTATGTCCAATACCTAATAGAAAAAATAGTTGAATATAGTTGATTTTGCCACTGATCTTTTAAAAGAACAGGCGAGTTATTAGGCGTACAATTTGTTTGGCGTCATTTATTATAACCCCACTCCTATTTCTAGATTTAATTTATACCTATTTTTGTCAACTTTGATAACATATTTTGCATTTAGAAGTAAAACAAGACAAATTGTACATACCTTCTAGTATCCATGTCATATCACAATTTATTATAGCAAATATAAAATCAATTTTTCAGTAAAGTTGATCGAAATCACGAAAACGGCCGGTTAAAACACGAACTGATTATTACTGCTTAAAACATACTGGTGGCGTCATCTATGATTAAATAGTGGTGTTTCAGTAAATAGGAAACCTGTAGTGTGTCTTTTAAAAGAACGGTGGCAATATCTGGGTTAACAAAGCTGGTTCTTTACTGGCTTTTAGCTCTAAATATACTTTTTGCTATGCTCTCTGGAACAGAGTGCGGGCCGTCTGGCTGCGGGTAGACGTTACGTTCGTTACTACGCATCACATCTGTATTTAACATCTATTCACTACTGCGCATCACATTGGCCATGTATTTCAGGAACTTGAGACTAGAATAAACATATGTGTAGTATATTTAGTTTAATAAAAAAGTAGCAAAATAGTATGTAAATCGCATCATTGCATTTCTACTCATAAACGAGAAATCCCATAAAACACACGAAAATGCGATACCCTGTACAGATGTGATGCGAAGTAGTCTACGGCAGCCAGACGGCCCGCACTTTGGTCAGGAGAGCATATCAAAAGATATATTAAAGAAACTCGCTGGTACAATTATATTTTTTATTAAAGCTAGATTAAATTTGTCAAAAAAGTGTCAAAACGTCCGTTATCGTACGATCTTTCTCCGTTGACGGGCTGGAGTAAAAAATTTACGGATGAAAAGTGAGGCGAAAACGTTATAACCAATCAGAACGGCGCGCCGTCGGACCATCGCGGCATCGTATCAACGGATAATGGACGCATGAAAAGCAAGCTTTAGGAAGTTTTATTTTTCCTGTAATGTTTTACCAAAAAAGTAAAATATACTACTCCAACCAAACGCTTCAGCCAGTAAAGCACTCAAAGGCATAGCTACGACAGTTCCAACATAACTACCAGACGAGGCAAGCATAGATAATCTGGTTCTCTCTAAAGGTGGTGCCCATTTAGACCAAATTGCATGCAAACTTGGATATGTAACACCCTAAAGAAATAAATAATGTTTAGTTTCCACTCAAAAAACAACTATGAAAACAATTACCTCAAATACTCCTTCGATTATTCGGACAGCGAGTAAAAGATAGACATTGGTTGTAGCTAACCATGGTGTGATAATAGTTAGTGCTGCTGTTACAGCTATTCCCGTACCGAAAATAAGTTTTCCGCCATATTTTGCTGAGAAGTATCCTCCTAATAGTTGAGTAGTGATGTATCCGTAGAAGAATGAGCTGAGAATGTAGCCTTGTATTTCGTTGCTCCAATCAAATTCTGGCCCCTAAAGAAAATTTCCACAAAGAAAATATGAGTTTGATTTATTACTTTAATTTAACACTGTTATCTATCTATCTATACTTTGCTGAATATTTTTTATTGTATTAATTGCATTATAGTTATTAATGATACAAGTTCGATACGAACATCATAATGAAACGCGTCTAACGTAGTTACACAAGTTTCATTAAAAAGTTCGTATCGAACGTGTATCATTCAACATTTAATCTACGACGCGACACGAGGGACGATCCAAAGGGATTTGATTTAATTTAAAATATCAGAGATATCCTCGTAAAAATTAAAATTCAAAATTATCAGGTGCCCATATTAGTCGACGCCGTGGTAACCGTGGTTGTTGATTGCTTCCATTTTGACTTTGACAACTCAATTATTGATGTTCAATTTTGTGTTAAACGTTCAGTTTTAGCAAAAAGCAAAAAATAATATTAATATGGGTGATTCTGATTCTGAAAGTGTCCCTTCGGATATTGAAGGCATTGCGCAAAACGTTGTCGATTTCCCACTTTCCAAAAAAAAAGGAAAAAGGAAAGAAAGGAATCAAGAATAGTAAGTAGTAACGAAAACGTTCTCCTGGCATATTTTGAACATCTTTCAAAACATAGGAAGGCTTCATCACATTGGGTAGATTATTCCATGCTACGTTCAGTTATATCAGTGAAGAAAACAGATATTAGTACGTCCATTTAATTGCATTTCTAAAAAGAAAATCGGAAGGATTTCGGTCAAGAAGTCGAGAATTTTAAGAAAAGAAGACATAACTCGTTTTTTGTTGGAAGCTGATGATAAGACTTATTTCCTGACAAAAGTTTCATTGATAGTGGGACTTGCGGGAGCCTGCCGGCGCGTATCGAGTTGACAAATCTGCAGCTGCAAAATGTTAAAGATGAAGGACAATGCATTCATGTCATTATTCTATTTACGAAAACAAAGATATCACGAGATTTTTTTTATAACGAAAGGGAATGTTGAAGGAATAAATATGGTGGAAATGGTTCGAAGATATATAGCTATGCGGCCAAGAACGGAAAATGGCGTACAGAAATGGAAAATGTATTAAGCAACCCGCTGGCATTAATACTTTAGGGAAAATGCCGTATAAAATAGCATTGTTCCTAAGTCTTCCAAATCCACAACAATACACTGGACATTGTTTCCATAGATCGTCTGCGGCGTTGCTTGCAGATTCAGGAGTGGATTTATTAACTGTTAAAAGACATGGTGGTTGGCGCTCTAACACAGTGGCAGAGAGCTATATAGAAAATTCCAAAGAAAATAAGAAAAAAGTGTCATGTAATATTTTGGGTAACATTTCTGGCAATGATGGGCCCTCAACAAGTTCAAGCACTCAGGAAATAAATTTACTTTCTAAAAATTCAACTCACCTGTCATCGTCTGGAATTAATTTAACCAATTGTACTGATATTATAATTAATGTTTACAATAAATAAACGTATTTAGGTACCTTTTTTTGCTTGTTTCTTATTTTAAAATTTGCGTGTTATTATGAATTCATAATAGCACTAGTGCTATTATGAAAGCCATAATGACATCCAAATGACAATGTTAAATGTGTCATAATGACATAGTCGTAGATTAAGATATTTATATTTAAATACTCTAATGCTATTTCGAAAGAATATAGAGTCAGAAGTAAAACATATTCTAACAAAATATCTCATAAGAATTATGTATCTGTTATAATTATCACTGCGCTTGACATAGACATTTTTAAATTATATTATGTTACTTGAACTCATATTTTCTCCAAAAAGTCATATGGGTATTTCGCCACTAATTGTCAGCCGCGGTTTACTAATAACCAAATTTGCCTAACGGACAAAAAAATGCTTAACGTTTCGGGAAGTATATCTTTTCCCGTCAAAAAAAACACAAAGAACAAAGGAAAAAACTATTTAAAATATCTAAATGCAACTATTACAATAGATACATCAACAGATACGTCTACAAAAACCGTTGACGTTCTGTTAAAATCACATTATAACAAGTTAAACTTCAAAATTAACAATTACTATGTGATAACAATTACTTAGTAAGGTAAAACCAAAAAGCTTCAAACTTTCTGTATGATTATTTTTTAATTTGTTTTTAATTTTTATAATATGTTATATTTATTTGTGTTATGTTCTTTAAAATCAAAAAAGCGGAGCTATACATTACTAACGTCTAGAGATGCATGAGCAATACATTTAATTTTATTAGATTGTATTGAAAAAGTCTCTTTTACTTTTATTTAGAGGCTGTCACTTCTTCCATTATAATTTTTCCGTTGTTAAAATTTACTTTGTGCCCTGTGTCCCATGAATGCTGACAAATCTTAGATTTGTGAAAGTCGCCCTTTCTAAATAATCTTTATGTCCTTTAATTCGGACATTTAAAAAAATAAAAAAAAAATCATTTAAATAAACATAACATACGTAGAAATTAAAAAAAAAATAAAAAAAAACATACAGAATGTTTGAAGCTTTTTGGTTTTACCTTATTAAATTGTTATTAGGTAGTAATCGTTAATTTTGAAGTTTAACTTGATAAAACGTGATTGATAACTTAAAAGTGTTCTCGAATAGTTGCATTTAGATATTTTAAATAGTTTTTTCTTTGTACCTACTTTGTGTTTTTTTTGCATCCAACGCGACGGGGAGATATGCTTCCCGAACCGTTAAGCATTTTTGTCCGTTAGGCAAATTTGTTTATTAGTAAACTACTGCTGACAATTTTAGTGTCCGTTGGATTAACGCAGCAGTGTTTACAAAAAGTAACTATTTTATTTTGTAGATTTTCATACAGTGGCGAAATACCCATAGGACTTTTTTGGAGAGACGAATCCGCCACAGAGGATATTTTTTATCTCATATTTTGTTAAAATTAATAAAAATATGTTATTGCTTATTATTCTGTGATAATTTAATAATTTCAAACTATAAAATATTTAGATACTCACAATGTTAATAACGGTGCCATTTTCCAAAGTTTCATATCTATCCGATGTCATAGCAACTATAGCAATGCTCAAATTTACTCTTAAAGCATATGCATTAAAGAACCCAAAAAATGCCATAAATGCAACTACATATCTCCTGTGTTTCCAGAATGACCACTTTGATGGAAAAGAACTAGAATAACATGAGTTATATTTAGTTCATCTTATAGTTTTAATCAATATTATTGCAAATTACCTCTGATCATATTCTGCAGCTAATTTATTGTCCATTTCACTAAGAAAAATGTCTAAAGTTTTAATTGTACAAGACTACTGTTTATTTCATTTTTATATAGCTAAAGTATACGTCGAATAATACTATCTAACATACTAAACACGCGTTATAATGAAAAAGTGAGATAAACTAGTTATTCAAAGTCTTGAAAATATTTTATTTAATTATTTTATGTTTATTTGAATAAATAAAGACGAATATTTGAGTGTATGTCTATACAACTTACCGTAAAGTAATTTTAGTAGATAATCCTTGTTATTAAACATTAACCTGGCTTAAGAAATATTTTTATGAGATTTTGGAGCTTGATTATTGCGTGTAAATACTCAGTTTATTTTCTATTTGCAATTTGGTATTTTTAATTATAATAATAATATTATCATAAAGTCTCCACATAACATTTTACCTTCCGTTTAAACTGTGAGTTAATGGCCAAAACTGTCCTCTATTCCAGAGGAAGGTTGGACATTCTAGGCATCCCTATAACTCTTCTCTTTTCTTTAACATATTAAAAAAGTTTTTTAAGCTCTTTTTTATACATTAAACTCAAAATAAAAAAATTATAGTCGTCTATCGCCACAATGTTTAATAAAATTGTTAATCTGGCATCTATATCTCTTTTGCTTGGCAATAATATCTCTTTGTAGATGAAATATTTGTAGAAACGATAAACATATTTAGCATTATTAACTTTACTTATGGTTAGCTTATGATGTGATGTGAAATAAAAAGTTTTGTAGAAAATCTTTGTTTTATTTTAAGAAGTTTCGAGTATAACTTTGCTTAAAAAAGTAAAGCCCAGTTGACACGTGTACCTGGATCCAATATACTTGGATGCTGCCATAATTGCCATATAAATATACTTATATCTTATATGGCAATATCCAAGTGTATTTGGTAAAAGTACACTTTAAGCCGCCTTAAGCAACGTAAGAAACCATCAACCGCTTGTAAAATTCTTGATGCATGTTTTTTTGAGCATTTTTCTACGAATAATTTGGTACTACATACTTTGTATTTTGAGTCAAATTCTCGGTATGAACGCAGCCATTGCACTCTGGATTGAAATTTAAAATACTATTATTTGAGAGAAAATGTTGACATTTGAAAAGTCATTCTATACAGAATGTAATTTACTATTAAATTAACTACAAACGTACAGAGGCTATTATTTAAAAAGCAAAAGTTATAATCATTTCCGGTGAAACAGGAAATAACCGAAAATAATTGAATACATGAATCAGTCCTGATTTATGTCATATACAAGTACTACATACTGAATCTCGTTTTTTTTGTCTGAAAAGTACAAAAGTTATAGGAGTGAGCCACTTTTTGAAAACACCCGGTATAGTAATAAGTAATAACACGTAGTAAAAAAATAATAAAATAATTATTAGACAACGGGGTATATAGAATACTATAAATATCTATACCGGGTGCGTCTCAAAAGTGGCTCATCCCTATAACTATTTTATTTTTTCGGATAAAAAAAAAACCAGCTTTGGTATGCTAGTATATGACATAAATTAGGATCGATTGACATATTCAATTGTTTTCGGTCACTTCCAGTTTTACCGGAAATGACTACAACTTTTGAATGGCAATCTCGGTATTTTTTTACTTTATTCGATAGAAAATTATACTTTAAATAGAATGACTTATCATATGTCGACTTTTGACATTTTCGCATATGGTTTATTTGAAATTATAAAATGCGGTTCATAACGACAATTTGACTCGAAATACCAAGTGTGTGGTATCAAATTATTCGTAAAAAAATGCTTTTCCAGATATGCTAACGAGCCACCCCCGTTCCATTTAAAAAAGTTGAGATATGATTAAAAATACGATTTGGGCATCTATGAACCGACCAGGACAAGGCACTAAAAAGATTAGACGACCAAATATATTTTTCCAAGGCTCCATAATTAAAAATTAGTGTTTGTAACTAGTAACTCTAGATTGTAACTCTAGATTGAAATTTACAATACAACTTTGTTTTAAGCGAAAATGTCAAAAGTTGACATATGATATGTCATTCGATTCAGAGTGTCATTTTCTATCGAATAAAGTAAAAAAATACCGAGGCCATTTAAAAATTAATAGTTGTAGTTATTTCCAGTGAAACAGGTAGTGACCGAAAACAATTGAATACGTCAATCAATCCTAATTTACGTCATATACTAACATACCAAATCTCGTTGTTTTATCTGAAAAAATGAAAAAGTTATAGGGGTGAGCCACTTTTGAGGCGCCACCCGGTATAGTATATAGAATATTATAAAATTCAATTGTACAAATATTGGCAATTGGAAAAAAAATATTATTTCTAACATTATAAGTGGAATATTAGAGACATAAATGTAATTTAAAATCAGTAATTATAATATATATATTATCTATTGATATTAAAATTAACAGTAAATACATCAAAGTATACTCGTATAGGTATACAGGGTGTTCCTTAAAATGACATGCTAATATTTAAGGGGGTGATTTTTGGGTCTATTCTAAGAAAAAAACTTCATATGAATGTATGTCCTAAATATCTTTACTTTTCAGATACAGGGTGGTAAAATTTTTGAATTTTTTTATCAAAATATCTCTGATGTTTTTTTTTGTACACGTCTTCCATGCATTTTGATGCATATTTTGATATATAAAAAAACGTTTTATTTTTAATTTCCTTCCAGCCAACGCAGAAACGATTTCCACGCAACAGTCACCGGATCAGATTTTCAGCGATTTGACCCTGATGTAAACTGACTTTAATTTTGTTAGGTTGTTAATGTTAAGCAAAAACTATGAATTGGACGAAAAAAATCAAGAGATAAAAAACGTTTAAAAATGGATGGAGATTTTGAAAATAATTTTTATTTTAAGAGAAGCCAGTGGTGTACCAATTTTTTCTTCAAAAATATTCAGTGTAAAACCCGTATAGGCCGCACTGGTTGAAATAAATAAAATTCTTTGTACATCAAAAAGGGTATTTTAATGCATAGAAGACGTGTATCAAGTTTCATAAAGATATCTGTAATAAAATCAGAGTTATTATGAAAAAATGTTTTTTTAGAATATTTTACCAACCTGTATCTCAGAAATTAAGATGTTTAGGGCATACATTCATATAAAGTCTCTCTCTTAGAATAGGTTCAAGAATCGCCCCCTTAAATATTAACATGTCATTAAGAAACACCCTGTATAATGATTGTAAATGGTGATGATTTTAAATAAATATATAAATTTTTCTTAAAATAGATATGTTAGTTTTATAAGAATCAATAAACTAAAAGGGCTAAAAAGTCAAATAGAATAATATCCTAACGTAATAGATGTTTATAATATTTACCTTTTAAGCACAATGTTTTTCGTTCAATGTCAATTCATTAATTCGAGATTTTATAGCTGTCCAGCACAGTAAAATTAGAGATATTGTTAGCAAAATTCAATCGACGTGTGAACAATTATTTTAAATCTAATTTAGGCACGAAAACAATATGTAATTAGGCGGTATAACGATGAAAATATTATAGGATACCTGTAATGTGTTTTTGATGTGTATTTTTTTCAGCGCCATTTATTATTTCCTACAATTCATCATCTGTTCGTAAAGTTTTGTTTCCAACTCTCCTTTTATTTTTGTCTTGTTTTTCAACACCAGAGTCTTCATTTTTTTCAATAGCCCATGGTTGTAACTCACCAGATGCTAAAGAACCGTATATTATTGCACCAAATAAATAGACGGCTGCTGATATATAAAACACTATTTGCCACTCGTGCACTTGCTATAAAATAACAATTAAGTTAAAAAAGGGTTTACGTTGAGATATAGTAATATGTACTTACTGGTGGTTTAGAAACAACGTAGCCGGATAGTATGGGACTGACAATGCCTGGAAGAGTGGCAATGGTGTTGCCGATACCCATGAGAACACTTGCGTACTGTGGAGCAATGTCTAGATGGTTTTACACTGAAAAAAAATGGATTAATAAATAAAATTCCATCTTTTTAGGTAGAATTCTATATAGATAAGTTAGTACAGAGTTAATATTTTATTATACAGGGTGTCAAAAAAGTAGTGTAGCTTTTTATTTTTTCGACCTAGAACATTCTTTTTTTCTGAAATGGCGTTCGCAGGTTTATGACTAGAAAATAAACAATCTTTTATTTAAAAAATTGTGACGTTTCGACGTGTATTTTCGTCTTTAACAGGGCTATTTTCAGCAGATAAAGACGAAAATACACGTCAAAACTCATCGGTAATCTACTACTACTACAAAACCTTTTATTTTGTCTATCACAAGGATGCAAATCTACTATTAATTTTCTAGTTTCAATATTACGAATTTTTATACGGCTATTACCAATAATGTCATACGCTGTCAAATGTCTCATATATTGGTAAAGATTGTATTACCCATAATAAAAACCTATATACAGGGTGTCCCAATATTTATGAAGCACTTTTGTATAAGGTAAATTATGTTCAACCAAACTTATATTCAGTCTAAAAATACGTAGTACTTCTATTCATGAATAAGGACACCTTGGCAGGTATATATTAAAGTGCACATTTATGATAGATGGCACATTTTTCTGATTTCAAAAATTTAGCACACGTGCCCTTACTTTTTAATATTTTTATCGAAAAAAATGATAAAATATACAGGGTGAGTATTAAACTTAATATTTTCCAGGTTGGTAGATCTCGAAAAAAATCATATTTTCTCTGTACCGTTGTTAAAATAACCCTAAAATAACCTAGTTATTTTACTTCGAAAAATTTGAAAAAAAGAAAAAAATATTTTTACTTAAATTTGAGAACCCCTGGACCTTTTCTGGGTTTTCTTTCTTGTAAATACAATCTACTACCTATGTTGTTGCCATATTATCAAGTTATATTTTTTAAAAGTAAAAACTAAAAAAATCCAAAAGTTTTCGCAAAAAACCTCATAGACGTGTTTCTGGCACACCTAAAATATTTGCACTTATTCGAGACTCACCCTGTATATTTGCAATGTTAACATTTTTATTAGTTTCAAGTCAGACATACAGTTGTGCCCCAGAAAAAAGTGCAAATATTTTAAGGGTGGTAAATCTCGATAAAAAACATATTTTCTCTTTATCATTTTTCAAATAAGTTCATGGCGTTATTTTGCTCCAGAAAATTTCCAAAAATGTTTTTTGCTAAAATTTTTCAGAACCACATATCTTTTCTAGATTTTCCTTCTTGTAAATTTAATCCTAACCTACATATGTTGCTATATATTATCAAAGAAATTATTTTTTAAAAACTAAAAAAATTTCAAAAAATTCCTAATATTTCATTTTTCACCGAAAAAAACCTCATTATGCGTGTTTCTGTTTTCTGTGTTTTTTTTATAGGCGTGTTCTGGGGTTGAACTATACTACCAGTTAAAATACTTGCACTTATTTCTGGGACACCCTGTATAGTTAGGAGGA